TTATAAAGGAAACTGTCTTAATAAAAACTCTGCTAGTTTGCAAGAATCCTAATAGATTGCTTTCCCAGATAATTTGATAGTGGAACAAATTCTGTGGGACTGACATCTCAGACAGGATGGATGCTTTCTGCTTCCTAAAAAACTCTGGTGCCCTAATAGCTTGTGTTATTTATTTATTTGACTGTGCTCAAAACAGAGCCTAGCAATATGAGTTCTGTTAAGATTCTAAAAAAAATTTTGGTTTTGCTCTGTTTGAATTCTTACTGTCAATTCATTTGGTTTGAATAATATGCATCATATACTTGTAGATTTTGCTGTGGAAAATCCCTTTAATAAGGAAAAACATCTGAGACCGTGAAATATGCAGAGGGTGTTTTTTTTTTTTTTTTTTTTTTACAAACACCAGAGTATAGAAAGCCTTGAATGCTTACCAAAGAGGGTTATGCATGTCTATTCCATCTCCTAAAAACACTTCCTCCTTCAGATTTACAGTTTCTAAGAACAGAGCAATTTTGATCAAAAGAAGCAGCAGCAGCTGTAAGGGAGAAGTGTTCAATTCTGATTGCTTCATCTGGAATGAAGGGAGTAATGGCATAACTTTATTAAACCAGATGCAGTAAAGGGCTTTATTTCATTTAATCTGGAGAACAGAGGAATTTGTCACATACAAAAGATGAAAATAATCTTGTTCTTCTCGCCACTACCTAGGCACGATGGTTATTAGCTAGGTCTTTGTAAGAAGTTGGAGATTATGATGACTATTTACTTTCTCCTGCATAACTGTTGTAAGAGGGCTGGTATTTTGCTTCACTACAAAGACATGCTGAAAAGTTATTTTTGTTTGGCATTTGCTGGAATGCATTTGTTTTGGGAATGTGTGTTTCTGGGATTCGTGGTGGGCTTGAAGCTTCAACTGTACATCATAGTATACTACTTGTTACTTGGTACAGGGTTTATTAACACTCTAAGAAACTTCTTTATACTACAGTAATTTTTGACTGGCAGCGTACGCTGATAATACAAAATGGGCTCAGATAGAATTTTTTTACTCCTATTCCTTTCAGTGGTAGTACAAAGGATTATTTAACCCAGTAAATGTATCACCAACTTATCAGTATTATCTTTGAACTCAGTTTTGGGGGTTGTATATTCTATAACTGTATTTATGCCATTAATTCAACATTACGGCTCTGTGTTGAGCAGGAGCTAAGTTTAAAGTTAATAGAAAAGATTTATCCATCATCTACTTGCTTGACAAACAGTTCTTAAATGCCACTGTTTCTGACACATTAATATAATAAAACCTCATAGCACGAAGGGTAATAGCTATACAGAATAGAGAGCAGGAGAAAGTCAAGCCCAGTATTTCTAGGTCAGACAAAGTTAGAAATTGCATTTTCTTGAAAACAGGAAAAACAAAATGAAAGTTATTCACTGTTTTTTCTTTCAAGGGAAAGCAACTTATTTTCAACGGATTGGCAGGTTCATTAACACGTACACAATATGGCCAGAAAAATGGAATCCAGATCATCTCCCTTCAGTACTGCCCAATGTCATAACACCAGGTTGCCCCTATTTCAAATAATGAGTATACAGGACCATTATTTCTAAAGTGAGATACAAAAATACAATTGTGTGTGCTCAGTCTACATGAGCGAGTGTGCCATACGAATCAAATCTTGAAAATGTGACAGACAAATAAGAAACCTGTCTGCTCAGATTTTGTGAAGATGAATTTGTAATAGCCATCAATGGATCTCAGGTAGAAACAATTGCACAAAGTTAGAAGAAAAAAAAGAGCGATACAGCTTTTGGCAGACAAGAATTCTATGACAGTTTGAGATGTTCCTGAATTCAGCTTTGTTGCCCATCACTATGAAAATTAAGCTCTGCCACCCTTCAGTAGAAAGTCTCTTACTACATAGTACTCATTTCTATCACACAGTCTCTATCCTATTTTCTTCTGTCATGACTATTAGACCAAAAATCAGCGTTAGTTACAGAAATCACAGGTAAGCCACAAGTAAAAATCTCTTAAAAACACACTATATCTATTTGCACATATGCTTGCAAAACATGGCTAGGCAAATTTTTTTCTAGGATTTTTTTATTTAATATATTTTCATTACCAAGAAAAATCAGTGCAAGACTTACAGTTGGCCTGGAATCCCACTTACTATTATGGCTAATGATGCAAGACATTTCATCTTTGGTATCTTCATAATACTTACAATCTTCCCGCTTTCCTTAGTTTAATGGCCACATCTACTTTCTCCATTACCTTCACGGGAAGCCAAAGTCTATAAGGTCTGCATTACTAATGCTCCAAATTGTATAATACAATTCTAAATATTAACGTTGACTGTTTCAGTCACTAGAGCAGGCAGTCAGCATAAATATAAAATCACTGCTGAAATCCTCATGTTCTGTTAGGTAGGACAAATTAAAGTTACACTTTTGCAGGATTAAACCAAAAAGTTAGCACTATCAAATCCTGCTGTGGACTGAAACACCTTTCCTGTAAAAGATAAGCAGCATCAAAAACCTGACTATAATACATTTTTTGTCTTTTTTTGTGTGAAAATATCACTGTTTCTGCTACCTGTGAAGCTATTTCTGTATGCTGATTTAATTCCTGTTAATATATTTTTTTTGCTATATTTAAATGCATTTGTTATGTACACAGTTCCCAATTCTGGAAAGTACTTCCTACTAAGAATAGAAAGTTTTGAACAGCACTCACACCCTTTCCTCAATCATGGCCATTTCAAGCAGTGAAGACTACAGCATTCATAGAATCAGAGTTGCTCAGGTTGGAAAAGACCATAAAGATCATCAAGTCCAACTATAACTTCAACATACTACCGTAACTCTAACAACCCTCCACTAAATCACGTCCCTGAGCACTACATCCAAATGGTTTGTAAATACATCCAGAGATCACATTTCAGCCACCTCCCTGGGGAGACTATTCCAGTGCTTAACAACCCTTTCTGTAAAGAAGTGTTTCCTGATATCCAACGTAAACTTACCTGGCACAACTTGAGGCCATTTCCCCTCATCCTGTCACCAGTGAGATCAGCCCTGCTCTCGCTGTAAGCACCTTTCAGATATTGGAAGAGAGCAATGAGGTCTCCCCTCAGCCTCCTCTTCTCAGCCCCAGTTCCTTCAGTCTCTCCTGGTAGGGCATATTCTCCAAGCCCCTCACAAGCCTTACTGCCCTTCTTTGGACCTGTTCCAGCACCTCAATGTCCTTTCTAAACTGAGTCCCCAAAACTGAACACAGCACTCAAGGTGAGGCCTCACCAGTGCTGAGTATGGGGTCAGGATGACTTCCCTAGTCCTGCTCACCACACCATTCCAGACACAAGCCAGGATGCCGTTGGCCTTCTTGGCCACCAGGGCACACTGCTGGCTCATATTCAGCCGACTGTCCATCAGTACACCAAGGTCCCCTTCCATCAGGCAGCTTTCCAGCCACTCCTCCCCAAACCTGTAGAGTTGCCTGGGGTTGCTGTGACCAAAATGCAGGACCCGACACTTGGCCCTACTGAAATTCATACAGTTTACCTTGGCCCATCGATCCAGTCTATCCAGGTCCCTCTGTAGTGCCTTTCTCCCCACTGACAGATCAACACTCCCTCCCGACTTGGGAACTGTGCTAGAAGCTCATGCCTTAAAGAGAAACAGTCCTTATAACCTACCTAATTTATGCGATTCCAAAAATTCCTTTCTTGCTTCTCATCCTATGTCCTTTGTTTTCTAGGCTATCACTTTGCTTTTATACAACTGGTGTCAGAGGACAGCGATAGTAGCAGGTAGCACAGAACCTGTGATGTAAAACCACAGGAGCATCAAATGCTGAGAGCATTTCAGGGATTCAGCGCCACCTGCTGTGAATGAGGGGCAATAGACATTTGCTGCCCAACTGTGTATGTCCAAGTAAGAGCTTTCCTTATGAATATATCAACAATACCCATATGAGCAAGCGATTGAAGCTGCCTACCTCTTGAGAGCCTGTCCAACTTCAACGATTTTATCACTCCATGAACTGTCAAAGCAAAGGTATGCAAATAATTACTATTCCCACACCCCCACCTAAGCATCAGCGCTATAAAGCCTGTTCTAAATTTTAAATACAAGATGTTTGTTCCTTTTCTCAGACTACTGTGATTAACAAAGATTTTGAAACCAAAAATCTAGTAAACAGCTGATGATCCACAAGCAAAGACCACGAGAAAAGGTCATGTTACACATCCTCCACAAACTCTTGGAGAAAATTCTGCTGCATACCACTTAAACGCAAACTGTATTCCTGGAAAGGAAAACTTTAATTCTAATCTCTGGCTATTCTGCCTCAGGCTTAGCTACGAGTTTCATGAGTAAACAGAGAACCTTCAAGAAGAATAATCATCCTGAGGACACATTTGCTTTCCACTTTCATTCCTGCTGAGGACCTAAATGAACTCAGTAAAGATGACCCATTACTGAGTCAGAAAAAACAGCTACTGCTTGTGTCTCTCAGTGGAAAAGAGGAGAGCTATGTAGAGCATCAGGCAGAAGGTAAGTCCAGACTAGTGATGAGAAGAGCAGTCTTTGCCTAGGAATAATTCCAGAAGAGGCTCTCCCAAGTGCTGTGATGTAGAATTTCCCATTTCATTAGCTGTATCACTCAGTGAAAATAAGGAAGTGGAACTGATTACATTATGAGAGAGAATAATAGAGTGGGATGGAATTTCTAGCCATTCTACAAGCAGCAGAAAGTAGCTGATGACAAACTACTTTAAGCACCCACAAAAACCTGAAAGCAGCAACTGTGGACTCGTTCAGAATTTGCCAACTGACACACTCACTGATCTTGAATGTATGGTCAGTGGGCTGGTGCCTGAGTGCAAACACTGACTTGTTGCTGCTTCTCCATAAAAAAGTGTAATAGAGTAATATATGACAGTAACACAAATTTAACTCCTGCTCAGGTAACCAGTACTCTATCCACTCACCTCTCATTTTCACTTCAGATCCTCTTCTGAGAGTTGAATAAGCATACACATACTTCAGTCTCCTGTTCATGAATAAATTTCATTCTCTGAAAACATAAAAATGAGAATGAATAACAGAAAACCTGTTCAGCAAATTTGCCTTGTATCCTACACATGCAGAAGTTGCTTTCACAGCTGCTTTGTAAATAGCAGTTTGTCCTTCCCTTTAGGCCTTCAGGAAAATACCTATTTGTCTAATCCAACTTTTCTCAAGCCCCAAAAGATACATTAACAATTCTCAGAGTGTCAGCAACAGTGGCTTGCTATTGGTAGCGGGAGGAATTAACTGCCCTACCTACTGATGAGCATATCCAGCAAATCACTCACAGTTATAGCAGATGTTTAATGTTTACAGACACACTTGTTCATCCATTCCTCCCAGCAGTAAGATAACACTGCATAGAAGTCTGGAGAACAATGTGGCATGGATGCATTAAGAGTATGCAGGAACACAACAGAAGATGTCCTGCTACCATGGTACTCATCAGTACACTCATACTAGCCTACTGTGCAACAAGCAACAACACGGTTGCACACCAAAGAGACAAATAAAGACAAAAACAAAAACAAAAAAAAAGCACTTCTTGTTCAAGCTGCACGTGTATTTCTGCTTAAATGAATCCAGGAAGAGAATAATAATTTTTTTTATTTATTTTTTTTTTTTTTAAGCACCTCATCTTTCTGAAAATATTTTAAACATTTCCAAAGCAAGATTTTAGTACTGTGGAGCTAGAAAGTACAAACTAAGTTTGTACTACCTCAGCTAGAACACTTACAAAATAGAAAGATGGGGAAAAATACCTAAAAACCTAGACCCTGAGTTACAGTTACCAGAAAACACTAGTTCTTAATTATATCTGTTCAAGTCCATGATTAGTTTCAGGTGGGTTTCTACCTTCTTTACATTCACTTTCAACAGACACTCTAGCAAAATGTTTAATGGGAGACAGCCACTGAAGCAAAGATTTGTAGAAAAAATGAGTACAGAAAATGTGCCTAACGTGTTTTAAAGTGGCAGTCTCAAATGTTTGTGGTGAAAAATAGCTTTTACGTTTTTTTTCTGAATGCCACTGAAGTCAGTGGAAGTCATTATGGAGGGTCCAAAGTCAAACTACAGGAATACCATAGGTGATTCATACTGTTACTGATTTGTATCATCGTAATGCTTTGGTGTCTCATTTGTGAACCTTGGACACTTTGAGTAAGGGATCAAAGACAAAGAACAAAAAAACTGATTCCCCCCAACTAGTGAAAAATACTCTCCATTTGATATTTTGATACTTTTTACAAATTGCTTCTGAACAAACTACAAGCCAAACTATTCTGCAGATGGTGTTTGGTGAATACTGCTGAATAATGAATACATTCTAGAAGATTGCAAGCAGAAAGGCAGAGCACACACCAGATGATTTTTTCCTCATGCTTTTTTTTTTATCTCTCTCTCCTCAGTAGATACGTCAGGGGCAAGCTGCCATGGGTGGTGTTGATTTATTTGATTAATAAATGTCCCTTCACTTACTAAGCAACCAGTAAAATAAAGTTTCCTGCAATAAAAGTATTTTATACATTATAGTAAATTAAACTGAGTATTTTAATGTCTCAAGCAATAATGTATTCTTAATGATCATGTTCCCATCGCATAGCTTTACTATAAGTAGTTCCATCTTCAAGCGATTTCTAAAATAAAATGAGATACAGAATTATAAGCTGCTGCAGCTGGTAAGAAAAAAAGAAAAATCTGTTCCTTTCATACTTGGTCAGTTCCTTTAGGGCTTCAAGTATGACTCAGGGCATACTATGTATCACCTAAGCATGATGCAGAAGTAAAGCTATAAATGTGGTGCAATAGGATGTTTTAGCATCAGAAGTACCCCCAGGTTTATTGTCAACCAAATTTCAGTAGAGTCATCTCAAAATCTGCCATGTTAAAGTATACTTTCAATAAAAGTAAACTGAGATATCACAGATGAGATAAAAACACATCATCGTTTTTAAACCAAAACATTTTAAAGGAGAAAACTTTTGTAGAAATGAATTTACTATGCATTATAGGCATACCATACAAAAATGTGTTTCTACAACATATGGAAAGTATCTGAATCAGATAGACAATGACCTTCATAAATCACTTCTTGTTCCAACTTTAAATTATGTCTTGTTCTCTCTCATGGGATATTCACTATATCTCATACAAACTCATAGTTGTGTATGCACAGTATTCCTACCTTTATAGAGAATTATGTCATATCAACACAGAGAGGGTATGTAAAACAAAGAGTAAACACATTTTTATGAGACTCTGACCAGATGGACCCACATACTTCATTTTTTATCACTTCCCTTTGGCTTAAGGGAATATTCTTTTCTGTTGTATGTGATTTATTAAATGGACTAACCAAAACTTTGGGGATTCCTCTTCAAACTTTATCACTGAAATGCTCTGTGGGTGGCAACAGCCAAGCCAGTGCCACACAGGAGAATGATGTAGGATGCAAATCCCATTTCCCTACACTCAGGTACATGAAGGCTCTAGGTTCATTCAAGCCAAAATTCAACTACCTATTAAAAAAATGAAGATTTGTGGGATTTTGTGCAAAAGCATGTTACAATTGAGTGAAGGCTACTGCTTGTGGTTGTCTTACCTTTCCCTTCCTGTCACAGCTGTAGTTTGAACAAACGTTTTCTATAGTACTGTTCTTTTGTTTTGCCTATAACAAAAAATATTATTTCAAAAATACAGAAAGATAGCGTGTAACTGTATGCTCTAAAATTTTATCCCCTACTTTTAGCAAATGTCTACCTGTTGATCCTTTTCACGTAGTCTCAAATGAGCACCTCATATCAACACAACTTTCCTACAGATTTTACATAATAACAATGCAGCTTTACTTACCTGTTCAGCATGTTCTATTTCTTCTCTAGAGCTTTCTTATCCATAAAAACTGACAGAGAAAACATATAGTCATCTGAGTCAATGATATAGCATTCAATACTTAGAAATACCTCCAAAACCAAGGGTTAGTACAAGCCCTAGAGGCAATTATCTGCACCCAGATGCTTTAATTCAAGAGCTGTTAAAAGATATTTTATGAAGTGTGTATGCAAAGCTCTACCTGACCATTTCTTTTGCAAAGATAGATGCAAGAATACAATACTGCATAGACATAATATTGTAACTGAGATATTTCTACCATTTAACTTCTGAGGTTGGAAAGAACCTCTGGAGATCAACTAGTCCAACCACACTGTTCAAGCATAGTTCCCTGGAGCACATCAACCAGGACTGTGTTCAGGTTGCTTTTGAAGACCCCCATGAAAGGAGATTCCACGGCCTCTCTGGGCAACCTCTTCCAGTGCTCAGTTACTATCACAGTAAAGAAGTTTTTACTCCTCCAGACAGAACTTCTCTGTGTTTCAGTTTGTGCCTGTTTCTTCTTGCCTCTTCAGTGTGCACCACTGAGAACCCTAGCCCTAGCCACACTCTCTTGATTACCTCCCTGCAGATAAACATTGATGAGATTCCCCCAGAGCCTTCTTCAAGCTGTACAGGCCCAGGTCCCTCAGTATTTCCTCCTGGCAGAGATGCTACAGTCCTTTAATTGTTTTAGTTGCTCCTTAACTGGACTTTCTCCACTATGTCCATGCCTCTTGCACTGGGAAGCCCAGAACTGTACACAGTACTGCAGGTGAGGCTTCACGAGGGTTGAGTAGAATGAGAGGATCATCTCCCTCAACTGGAAGGCAATACTCTAATACAATACTCTAATGCAACCCAGACACCAATGGCATTCTTAGCCACAAAGGCGCATGGCTGACTCATGGTCAACATATTGTCCATCACTATATGAGGATAGCATAGGAGACAGTATCAAAAACCTTGCTGAAGTCAGGGAGACAACATCTACTGCTCTCCCCTTATCTATGCAACCAGTTGCCCCATCATAGAAAGGGCTTAGATTAGTTAAACATGATTTTCCTTCAATAAATCTGTGCTGACTACTCCTCATCGCTTTCTTGTCTTCCACATGCTTAGAAATGGCCTCCAGATGACTGTTCCATCTCCCTTTCTGAGGACTAAGATGAGACTGACTGGCCTGTATTCTCAAGTGTCTTCCCTCTTGTCCTTTGATGACTAGGGTCACATTTGCTTTCTTCCAACCTTCAGGCATCTCTTCTGATTGCCATTACCTTCTAAAGACAATAGAGAGAGGCCTGGCAATGTAGTTCACCAGCTATCTCAGCACTCAAGGATGCATTCTATCAGCGATCATGGACTTGTGGATGTCCAGAGTACCTGAATCATTTCTAACCCGATCCTTCTTAATGAAGGGAAACTCTTCCTTTCTCCAGAATTTCTTCCTGGTCTCCTGGGTCAGGGATTCCTGAGGACTGGCCTTGGAGGTGAAAACATCCAGTAAGAATATAAGTCTTTGAAAAGGTGCTGGAACTACTACTACTACTACTGCAGTTACTTATGAACTAACTGAACTTGTTCTACAATATGCTGACACGTGATAAACACAAAATGTTACAACTCTCAGAAGACAATCATGCTTCAGCAGAAATTATATATCCATCTAGATAGTTCAGTTGTGTGTGGTAAAACAAACATTCTACAGATAGCTAACAAGGAATTTCTCAACTAATAATGTCATTGGTTTACTTAAAAGTTTATATCTCTATGGTTTAGTATCATCTTTGGCTCTAGCAACCATAGATTATTTAAAATGACTAGACCAAAGTGCAGTAAATCATAGTTATAAATAATGGCTGCCTGAAATGCTGAACAAAAGTTTGCAAGTTTTCTACCAAATAGGAACAACCAAAATCAAAAGCTGGTCTCAACAATCTGATATTCTTTAAAATCTAATAAATAGATTAACAAATGGTGACTAAATTTTCAACAAAATGTTAACTCTTTATTTTAGTGACCAGGTTTTGAATTGAACTTTAATCTGAAATTGCTAGTAGCTGTTAGGACACAAAGGGATGGCAATGAGATGTCAGTCTGCACTCCAGAGATTATTTTGAGACTAGAGATTTTCATAAAACAGCTTTCATCCTTCCTCTCAAACCATATTCCATGGTAATATGGCAATATTAAGAATATCAAACCCCAGATGAAAAGAAATAATGATACACAGTTTTAAATCAAGATGTAGCATGGTTGTACAGTATATAGGTAAAGCACATCCACACTGTAATAAAAACAAATGAATAAAGCACAACTATAGACAGTGTGTAGCTGTGAAGAGAAAGAAGATACCATCAGTGCTATTTTTTCACTTTTAAGAGGATATTTATCTGTCAAACTTCACTGGTGGTTAACAATTCATCTTCCTTTATGCTATATGAAAAAGTGGTAGAATTTGTCTCTTTTCAGAAATGCAGATAAAACTCTTCCAGCCTTGTTAACAACTTACATTACAGAGAATGAGCTAAAGCTTTGCACAGATTACCTTTAGCTTTGCACAGATGAACTTTTCTGTAACATCGTATTACTTTCGTAATGCATTTAAGTTAGTAAACTAGAAAATACTTACCCAAGATTCATCATGATTAAATAAAGCATTTCCAACATTATGATGTCAGCTTTCCCTCACTGAGACTCATCATACGAATGCTGCCAAATTAATCACTTATTCTTGGAATGCCTCATTTGCATAACTGACTGCTCACATACATGCCAGAACAACTAGATCAGGACTATCTCCACCAGTGTGTACACAGCATTCACCAGGTTTCCTGGGCAACCAGACTTTCTCACCTAAAGTGGAGGGACAAGAAAAATTCCTGAATGTAGCAACTAGTTAAATCCTTTTCCCACAAAAAATAAAGGGGTCAGACTAACAACTCCATAGCCAACAAAGGAAAGCACTTCCTATAAACCATAATCCCTGGGGAACACCAAATTCCTGGGGAATTTGAGGGAAGGAAAGCACCTTTCCACTTAAAATGTGTTTCGATCATACACAGAAGGAGACGTTTATTGTGTCACAGTCAGACAAACAAACCATTTTTTAAATTATGAGACGCTGAAAAAACACAAGTTTTCAGAGTTTGGGCGAGTTTCAGTTTTTCTTGTTTGAAAATTACGCTCTTTTATTTCTCATTCCTTTTTTTTCTTCCTCGCTCCTATTCAAAGGACAAAGAGTACTGGAAATCAAAAACTTCCTATGCAAATAAGTCCTCACTGGGCAAAAGAGGCTATTTCCAAAAAAAACAAAAACAAAAACAAACGCATAATAATTTAGGGATATGTGATATGAAAAGTCATGCCTCGTGGAAATATTTTGTTTGTATTTTACCTGCCTAAGTTTAGCCTTTCAGAACACGTTTACTGACATAAATAGTAGCATTTCAGGTCTGTACAGCTGCTAGTCAACTCCTACATCACTTAAATCATGGTAACAATTTGGAAACTCAGCATCTTTGAAAAAAATGCTTCTGCTTGTATGCTTAGGGCCTAATATCAAGTGTGCAATCTGTTAATGTTTCGGCATGGAAGAAAATCAGAACGTATAACCAGTCACTCAGCTTGTAAATTTGTCAGTTTTCTTCTCAAGAGTCACAGGTGGCTCACGTGACCAAAACCTACTTTACAGCCTGTAACCTAAGCAGGTAAGCCTAAGCCAGGCATGTCCCACTCGTAGTCCAACCCAGCTCTCCCTGCAGCTGCCCCCTGCCCTAACCCTACTGCTCAGCATCAACCAAACCTTGGTGTGTGCCCTCGGCACTGTCTAGGCTGGAACCAGGGCACGAGGACTGCTAACTCAAGTTATGACAAATACATTTATGTATTGTGATTGATTGGCTAATGCAGCCATGCTTTCTGTTGTGATAATGGAATCTGAGAACAGGTTTCAAGGTTGCCAAAAAAAAATCATCAATATTTTGCTATTTTTGTGACTCTATTTTCAGTTGACATAAATAAGTTATCTGCTTATTCTCACATGGAATGTACACAGTTGCAGATACTCAAAGAAAAACGTGAACGTATTTCTTTCCCAGACTTGTGTAAGCCCTCTCTTAACAGAGAGAGCTATCCCTCACCTCATGGTCGCACCGTACATCATCACTTCTGGCAGTAGATACATTTGCCAACAACAGTTTTCAAAAGTAAATTACATAAGGAGTAAGATTTCATCAAAAAACACAACAAACACTTTGAGACCTCACTAAGAATTGGAGCCACTGCCATTAAACCAGACCAATGTGTTAGTTTCACAAAAATAAGATCAATTATCACACCGGTGTTATGGTTTTGTTGCTCTCTCAAACAAAATACGTTTTGTTACTTAGATAAATTAAATTATATATTTTATATCCAGTCTAAGATGACTCCTCTTCAATCAATGCAGCCCAGGCAAGCCAGAAGACTCATGGCCTAAGCCCTACAGTTGTCTTATAGACTCTCATGGCAGTTACCACATTTGGTATAACCAGAAGGATTTTAACCTGTAGACACAAGCTCTCCTTTCCTGCTGAGCATTAACCACTACCACTTCAGTGTCTCTGTCGGGCTAGAAAGGTCTGACAGGGAAAATGCTTTCTTAAATTATATATTCTCAGAGGCGATGCTATTGCCATTTAGATGTTTCTTTCTTGTGAGTTAGCCAGTGATACGCAATCTAAGAGCTAAAGGGACCAGTGACAAGTTTCAGACAATCATCAGTCACTCCCCCCCATTCCATATTAAAAACGAACAACAAACCATTTTCCCTCCAACTTCAACAACACAAAAATATCAAGGGAGAAATGTGAAAACTTAAAATGCCCTCACAGTCCATTGCCTCTTAAAATAAATGTGCAACATAATGCTTAACACTGCACATTCCAGAAATAACCTTCTTGCCCTTCTTTTTCTGCCCTGCTTCATGCTATTGACAAGAACCCTCATAAACCACCACTCAACAGCAGCATCTGGCAATTTTTAAAGTTCTGTAATAAAAACAAGAAAGTGTTGATAAATTTACTTGACACTTAAAAATAAATCTAATTTAGCCATGGATTAACAATAGAATTGTTATACCAAATAAATTTGCAAGCAAAAGCTTTACTAGAAAACTAGAATAAAGGCTGACAATCATATTTCTAGCAAACTCCTGATACTAATTTTCATGATTGGTAAACTACCATCTCAATAATAGTGTTTTCCCTTAGTGTTGCAGAATAAAAGTTTCTTTGTTAGGTGTTTGCTTCAGGGTTAGGTGTTTGCCTGGGCTCTGACCACGTGCAATCCATTTCAGGCTTTTTTTAGGCACAAGTTTTGCCAAAAAGCTATATGCCTCATTAATTAGGCATGAAATGTGTTCACAGAAGTTGTAAGACCCACAGGTTGTGCCAACAAAGCTTCAGAACTTCTGCGAGGCTTCCAGAATTTCTTTCATTCATGCTGGTTACAAGTAACGTGATTTAAGACAGAGTTAAAGAATAACATATCACCATCTTTAAAATATACATCCCTTAAATGCCACAAAACCTGGAAATTTGTAATCAAGCTTCTCATCTGTGATCCTGTACTTTCACTGTCCCTCTATTTCAAATCCTTTATATCAACTATTTTTGCTACAAGATTACTCTCTCCTTGCATTTGCTTTCTACATCAGTCAGTAGATTAACCTCATTCAGTGCCTTCAAGTATTAAAGAGATCATGGTATCTGGAGGCAGACTTGTTCTGGTGCAACTGGTATATGTGAGAACAGACTACAGTTTGACACTGGACCTTCAGTTTGAAGATGCAGTTTTGTGTTGAACTTTCCAAACTGCAGACATAAAGCATTTTCAAAGTGATAAAGAGTAAATCTCTGCTTAAATTCCTTGGTGTAGTGGGTCTGGCTGGGGATGGAGTTTTCTTCACAGAAGCTCAAATAGTATTGTTTTAGATTTGTGACCAAAACAATGCCGATAACATACCTATGCTTTAACTATTGCTAAATAGTGCCCCTCACTGAATAGAGTAGGAGTTTGATGCAGGTTGAGAGGGGTCATGACTTACTAAGTAATGTTTGCTTTAACCCAAAATTTTCTTGCTTTTACTTTCTTTCTGCTTCTTCTAACCTTCTGAGGCAGGCTGGGATGCACGGGTAGAAGTGAGCAAGTGGCTATGTGGTGCTTATCTGCTTACCAGGGTTATCCCACAGAACTTGGATATCATGATCTACATGCAAAGAGATTTCAGAGCCAGTAAGATAAAACATGCCAGAGTTCAGCTGGGATAAAACTAGCTACATTACTTGTGTAGCTTTTGCATTTCTCTCGCTCTCTTTGCTGCTGATTGCTACCATTTGGTTTCAGTTACCTTGGGCATTGGTCCATTCAGCTCAAAATTAATTCTAGCAGTGGCCAAAAAACATAGGAGACTTCTGTAGTGAGGTCCCCAGCCTGTTTTGAGAGACCCGATAGGCTCAGATCAGCATCTGCACTTTTTACTGCTATCCAAACTAGAAAAAAAACCTCTGAATATTTTGAGATTCACACATCACCACTATACTATTATTTCTTAGACACTCAGTGTTGCCAGTATAAATTAAACAAGCTTTGTAACCTATAGTTATGACTACCCATGTAATACAGGATAAAGTACAATGCAGAGAACACAGCTGCACTCACTTTAGTTCTACAAGTCTACACAGTTTTGACAGACTTGATGAACTCTAATTGCATTGAAATACCCTTCTGACTCTCATGGTCAGAAATCTCCCCCTCATGTGCATTTGTCTGCGTAACACTCTGCACCTAGAGGACACAAGGAGGATGACAGCCTCACCTTTTAACTCCGACTGTCCCAAGAGCTGAACAATGGCTCATATCACATTGCAAGCAGTTTTATGGAGACAGGGTGACCCCGTGGCCTACTAGTAACATACCGTTTACCACAGGTTTTTCAACTATAAACTAAAATGCAAAAAAAAAAAAAAGTTCTTTTTCTTCGTTTTGCACTGGTTTCCCACACTGAAAATAACATCCTAATTGACATGTGGGACAAGGTACCGTACAGCTTCAGTAAGGAATGTTAACACAAACATAAAACAAAATGTGATGAGTAAGTAGGACATGGATCATGGGGAAGCCCAATCTGGCTGGAGGAAAGTATAGCTGAATAGTTACTCTTGCCTTAAAACCAGAACAAAACACCAGAAGGAAGTACAGATAATAAACAACTTACTAAACCCAATTATGCAGTCTTTCATCTCTTGCCAGCTAAGAGGAGACAAAAGGGTTCCAGCTAGTTAAAAAACCCATCTACACCAAAACATTTTGGCTTAAAGTATGGTAGTCTTTTCATTGGCCAAAAGCACTGAAACTGTCATCTCACTAGCTTCTCTCTTGCATATGGGAGCAAAGTACACCAGCCACCAGCAGAGATGACAGTTTGTTCCACTCTCTGCTTTAACAGAGGAGTCCATTCAGAGATGTAGGTACCAAACCTGGGATCTGTGTATGTGTTTTTGGTTTGGAGGCTGCTCATAAGCTGTTACAGGTAAATAGAAGGCAGCTAATATATGACAGCCTAAATAACACTTCAGAAGTAAACCAGCAGTTTAAGGGGACTGTAGGGACAACTTTCAGGATCAGGGTTTTTTGTGTGTCTAGTAGGCTTCTACACAAATATCACTACATATATTGAAAGCAATAATTTCACGTTCATGTATTAAGTAAGATTAAGTAACATTGTTGACTTCAAAACAGCAATCAGTTTATGCTGACCAAGAACTATATAAATCTGTTTGTATTAAAATCATAATAGTTTGAGATGCAAATTC